TTTTGTGCTTTTGCTTTTATGCTTTATCAAACTGGATAAAAACATTTAAAAAAGCAGAGAAATTTCAGCAAATGAATGAGTAGCTTGAAAGTCTCACAAAGTGACTGTTTCGAGAAACACGTCAGACATGCAAAACATACATACGCGCTATCGCAAGATAGAGGGTATCCTCAAGACTAAGCCTAGGAGGGGCAGAAACCTCAGGGAGAACAAAACAAAGCTCGCGCATCATCCTGAAGTCTTTTCTGCTCCGCCTAAGGTGTTGTCCCGTTTCGAACATAGATGTTTTACGAGCTTTCGAATTGACTGCTACCAGAATGCCACCGTATCTTGCGATAGCGTCCATAAATAAAAGGCCGAAGAAGTGCACAAGCAAAGTCAACGATAAAAGTAGGATCTGACCTTGAGGCCAACTTCCTTCCCACTACGAGAAACTTACCATATCTCAACGCGTGACACCTGACTGGCAATTTCAGGTGAGACCAGACAGTGTGAACAAGAATACTCATCACAAAACCGGAAATTTATTTCAAATAGAAATCTAAACAGAGACCCACATTCTGCAGGTTGCTTAACGCAGTCCCTCCTTCCTTCGTATCAACCGGAATAAAATTGAATGCCATTTTCTTTGAAGCTCAAACACGGCAGCTGATGTGCTACAAACGGGAGGATAAGGCTGCACAATCTACTTTGGATAATACGGAGCCACTAGGAAAAAAATTACCTTTTCAAGAGCTAATTCAGCCTTGGTTGCGGCGGTACTAGAGCAATCGCGTTTCCATTGCAACTCCTTATCTGAGAGATCCGCAGTGGTACCCCATTGCAACAGCACACTGAAAACGAAAACGAAAATTTTCAACTTCAAATGGGAATCAGAAGGGACTATTACTTGATTCTTGGCTAATTTCTCAAGCTCGCGAGGGCAGTGAGCTTAAGAGAGTGGTGGGAGCCAACATGCGAACGACGGAGTCTCTCGGCACTTTCCCACGCTCTCAAGCTGTTGGTGCGTTGTTCGCACCGCCGATGCACCGCTCGCGTCCGCGACTCGCTGGTTCGCGAATTCTGACACCGGTCAGACCGTCATTGCAATCGCGAAATCCCAAGAACGACGTCAGACTTTGCGAATCGAGCGACTCGGTAGCGTCCGCAGTCGCGTCGCGGCAGAAGCTCGATTGGCCGGTACCGCATCGCAGCGGTAGCGAATCGCTCCATTCGCAAAGTCTGAACATCGGCCTAAGGAAAGGTCTGCTACGTACCTGCCAGAGGTCGAAATGAAATCACAGTGAATGCCATAACTTATCTGAAGCTGCCCCATCACATTCTCACAGTGATGGCGAAGACCTGCATGATCCAAAGCCCTCTCGTACCTCTTCTGAGCCGACTGCGCGCAAAACTGAGTCGAGCTGTCCGGTAAGCACATCAGGCCCTCTATAAGGGTGGCTCTTCATAAATCGCGGATTCATCTTCTCGGAAGTTTTATTCAAAGGACGTTACAAAGCAACAAACTGCTGTGCACATTTCTTAATTCAATTTCAACTTAATGTTAAAGTATAACATTTGTTTTTTTATTTTTTTTTTCTTTCTTGTTCTAGAAAATGTCAGACATGTCAGAACCACCAAGTCATCTTTAGAATACATCGAAAGAACAAACCGAAGGACATCAAGTATTTCAACACGACACTCTCAACACTTCAACTACAACAGGAATTCCAGCAAATATTGAAAGTTAACAGATATACTAATAATCATTAATTTATTGATAGGAGGTGATTATCTCTCCCTTAACACTGTTAGATTTAACAAATTATAATAGATCACAACGCCATATTTCTTCCTTCAAGAGACACGCCTATTGCCCGTTTAGCTTTCAGTTTTCTGGTTCTTTCCAAAAACTCACGATGTGCTTTATCGAGACGTGCAAACGCCTTCCCTTTGCGCTCGCCCTTAAAAAGGGTTATTAAATGTGAGGTGTTTCGAATAGTAATACAGAAGCAGACACCTCACCTTAAACTCTCCTTCGACATTCGATTTTGGTCGAACAACGTAATCCTTCGTGGAAGGACGAGGCACGCGAGCCCTGTTGATCTCCCTTTCAGGAAGTTTAGATACAGCGGGTTCAGAGGGACCTGCTTCACCGCTGAAATAGTGATTGGCTAATTTAGCATAGCGCTGTACACGCGACGGAGGAAGTTCATCAAAGAAATTGTGGCGAATGGACTAATCAAAAACTATGGTCCGAAAACACACCTCATTCTTCTCTTCTTGACACTCGACATATGTTCTAAGTCTCTCTGGACTCTCTCTTCTCGAGAAACAGAGCGAAAATCAGTTTCAAGCTTAATGCAATCATTTAAGAATAATAAAATATTAACTAGAAATGGAAAACTGAAGAGGAGCTGATCTTAGCAATTCTCCACCTGGAAGATCGGTCCTCGACCACTCTCTTATTATCTGCGCTGCCATTGCCTTGTTCTCTTTGGTTTCTCGAGGATGCTTGTAAAGCAACATCACCGCCCTTCCCAGACCTGACTGCTTTAAAACTCCCTGAAATCAGGTGTCATGAAAGATTCAAGAACCACGACCTCGTGACTAAATGGAACTGGAAACAAATAAGATGCACTGTGTCCTGTTGAATAGCTGGATGAGGAAAGAAGTAAGTGATGCTTTAGGACCGATAAAGTGGTCGCAGGATGAACTCATAAGAATATTTTCCTTACTAACTTCGAATAGCCAAGTAGCCTTGAAGGGGTAAGTATACATTGAACAGTGCGGGCCGAATGATGAGGACAGCGGGAACGCGCGGACATACCCACTTTTTTCTGAGTCTCCATTTTCATCTCCTTTTCTGTGCACTATGTGAAGGGTACAATGTCTTCTTCTCTATTGAAACCAAATATCATGCAATTCTCAAAATCAGTGAACAACCACATCACGGTATGCCAGCCTCAAATTGAACCCACTAGGATTCTGGCACGCAACATCTAGCGACAGTTCAACGTAACAAAGAAGCTCGCATGGGCAAAAGGTGAACGCTCCAATAAGTTCCGAGCCACCACAGATAGAAAAGGCAGAGATCCGCATCTAGCACCAGGACAATTATGCAATGCAGAAATTCGCTCTCTTCTTCGAGATCTTCCTACTCGCAAAAAGAAAAAATGATGTAAAAACCGATTGGGCGTTCCAGAAACTCTACCTCTGTCATGGAATGAAAGCCATTGAA